GCAAAGCGCGTCCTCCAAAAACAATTGTGTAGCAATGTACTCGATCCATTGCGCGCTTCGTAGTTGTTACCATTTTCAATGCTAACGGCTTACAATAAAGATCTTCTACTAATGACTCTTCCTTGATAGGAAGAAACTGAGTTTATATTTTGATGTATTCGTCTTACTAACAATGGTATAGTTCGTCAAACAAAACCTTAATTCTCTTTTTTTGATGAAGACTGTCTTCTTCGATCTCCAGAGGTCTGATAAATTTTCTTCAGAGAAGGTGGTACTTTGTGTAGGCAGCACTAACAGAAAACATTGGGGCGTCGGATGTTTTTTTATTCGTAACTTGCTTAGTTACGTTGGAGTAGTGCGTCACACTCCAATTCAAACTTATATGACGCCGTCGGCCATATTTTATATATAGCCAGTAGTGCAGACGGATGTTATATATTTTGACTATCTCTTGAAGCCTGGAATGCTATTTTCCGCAAGCAAAAGCAATTCCCGCCCAACTCCTAGAAGTCCTGTCGGGACAAGTGTCCTAATTGCTTTCCCGTAGTTGAGAGTATTCTAAGGTGGACGCTATTACTTTTGTGCTGACGTCATAGTATGCGTATGCGTTCTTATAGAAGGAGCATTTTAGTTCTCGGTGCAATGCTAAAAGGCGTAGGTATATTGCTGAAGGCTACAAAATTATTATTTTTGGGTAGAAGTAAATTTTAATGGGAATGAAACTTAGTCAAGTATATTGCAACGAGCTCGCGGTTTAAAACCTAAATTAATACTGCCTCAAGTTAAGCAAAGTTGCTGGCAGTATGAAAAACACTACCAAAGCTGTTCGTTTTTTACTTTTTTAAATATTTTGGGATGCAAATCGGAGGAAGATTTCATTAAAAAAATTTCATACGGCGAAAATTAAAACAAACACATGGATTTGCAGTTTGATCGGCCATCAGTAATTTAATATCAGACATCAGCCACAAAATGTTTTTATCAAACTTGACCCACAACTCGCTCGAAAATCTGGGCGAAACTCCACTTACTCTATACGCATGCAAAGACTTTTTTCAGAAAATATGCTAGCTAAAAGCCCGGATATCAGACTTGCAACTTAATTTCATTCCCACTAGAAACCCCTGGTTATCTGTCGACGTAATTGATGTTTAAATTGTATTTGGTGAGTAATGACTTCTTGCCGGGACCGGGTTCATACAAAAGAAGAAGGACTAGTCGTCTGTGTTAAAAGAGAAATCAGCATGTAAACGTAAAACTATTTGCACCCGTGACTGTGAAACATTTTGACTGAAACTGAATTTTTTGACTATCTACAGACCGCCTAATCAAACTCCGGATTTTGATGAGACGATGGTCAAAATAAATAAACATTTCTCACCGGAGATTTAAACGAACTGTTGATCGATTGGGACAAGTTGTCACTAAAGGTTAACGTAATTCCTTTAATTGCAGATTAGTAAAACTGACGACGAATTTGTTTCTCATGCAAAATGATTGATTTATAATGAGAATCAAATATTCCCAACAGGCGAATTTTCGGAAAGTCATGCTTTCGAAGGATCTCGTTGAGGTAGGGGATCTTAGGTCAGTCGCACCACTTTGTAAGAGTAACTATGTCATGCTGCTGTGGAAATACTGTTTATACACCAAAAAATGAAGTCTGCTGAGTTTTGGCCAAATTACTGGCGCGAGAATTTCCCCACGAGGAAGAATGAACTGTCGGTACTAAACTGGCCGGACATTCTTACCGGAAGTTCGAATGCCAATCGAAACATCCTCAGGGGAGTTATAAGCGAGGATATGCATCGTCACTGCTCACTGATAAACGTTCCAAAAGTCGAGTCACGAGGTCTTAACAGACAGCTAAACCGAAGGATCGAATTCTGCTGAAACTACTGAACAACAGCTCAACTCTTGCACTCTGAAGACTTATGCCGAAAGCGGCACCTGTGGACGCGCCAGGTAGCCAGCAACTAGGCTAACAGGATACCCACCTTTCCTGGTCATTGAAAACATGGATGAATTTCTTGGACCCTCTATCTTTGGTCTCCGTCGCTACAGAAAAGACTGGGTGGAGCTTTTCAGATCCGCTGCCGCCAGTCGTCACGCGTGGAGGGGTACCGTCCGTGACAGCATTGTGGCCGGCAAGATCAGGCATGATCACAGACGTAGCAAGTACAAGTATCTTCGTCAGTTTTTCGCATCTGTTTTCCCTGGCAAACTGGATTTTATCTAGACAGACTTCCACACAGGGAGTAACGACAAGGTCATACAAGAGCTCGAATTCACAGGAGGTGGGAATAAAAATAACTTCTTGCGCTCTAAGAAGCTAAGTCTTCTCAGTTCTGGGCCGAATACCAGCAAAAGTACTGCAATGGTTTGCCTTCTACCTCTGTAGACCGGTTTCGCATATTCTACGGTTGTCAGATAGTGTTGCCGGCAAATACAAGGGAGACTTGAATGGCCATTTGTGGTGTATTTGCCGTTGTCAGCCAGTCGTACCCAATCCCAAGTGGTGGCCCGCTCGGGCCTCGAACTCGCGACCTATGTGATCAGAGTCAAAAGCCCTAACCATTTAACCACGAACTCGTTGTCTAGCCGGTTTAGGTCAGGTGCTATTGACACTCGTTGATGAACCTTCACCTGAGCGCCAACAGGACTTATCTGCCCCGCTCTGCCTTGGGTCCCGCCAGAGGCCTCGACGGCCGTAACAGTCGGCAGTAGAGGCAGACAATATTTTCGTTGTCCCTTGCCAGTTTTCCTTTGAGCGGAGCATCCTCCCATCTGAGTGGAACGTTGCAAACATATACTTTATTCACAACGATGGACACGGAACCAACTTTTCCGACTACCAACGGGCTAGCCTAACATACATTTATTGCATAGTTATCGAAAGGGTCATCAAAAAGGCTACCATGAAGTTTCTCGAAGAAAAAGCAGGAGAAGATCTCTTCGACGGTGTCCAGCATGGATTTCGAGGAAACCACTCCTCTTTGATTAATATGTTTTAGTCTCTGCAGTAGTGATCTAAGACTCTAGATGAGAACACTAACACACGATGTCGTCTTCGCCTTCAGAAAGATCTTACGATCGTGTTTCAAACCAACGGCTACTGTTCACGATCAGAGGATCTGGAATCAAGGGAAATTTATTATCTTGGATAGGAGACTTCTTGATAAACCGATTGCAGTCTGAATGCATTGGCAATGCGAAATTCACTTCGATGCCAGTTGTGAAATGGTGTACCTCAAAACTCAGGACTTTGGCCATTACTTTTCTTAATCTATGCCAACACATGTAGGAGTCGAGTGGACAATAAGAGAGTCATGTTTGCAAAAGATATTAAGATATGGCGACCGTCAAAATACAGTGATGATGAACATACTTTATAAAAAAAACTTCGCCGCCGATGTGAATAGTCTGATAAAGTTTTGCTGAAATTTTGCCTTGAGAAATATGTCCAATGTGGCTTAGAACTATGGTGAACACAATGAAGAACTCTCACTAGTACTCGCTTGATGGATGAAACGACCGAATCTATGCGAAAAAAGGACCTAGGAATCACACTTTTGTTATCTCTGAAGCTCTTTTCCCTATGTGTCAGGGCGACCAGTGTTCTGTTTGCGATTAAAAAATTCATTTTGATATCGACAAGGAAGTATTTGAAAAAAAACACGGGACCGTTATTTGATCAAAACTAAACTATGTAATTGAGGTCTGATATTCACAGCTGCAAAAAGTATTACAGGCTATTGGAAAGATATCAAAGGACGGCAGCAAAATTAATGAAGGGTCAAAAGTCCACATCATATAAATGCATACTTTAGATGCATAGCTTTTTCCTCTTTAATACAGACAGACGCGAGGTGATCTCTTTGAGGCATTGGGGCTCGTGAGGAATCAGGGATGTTCCCTGCATTTATAGGGCTTCTTCTCACCGACCTCAACAATTAGGCTACATTGGAATTTCCAAAAAGCTCGGAGGAACAACTCCGATAGCAACAGGATGTTCGCCGCCATTTTCCTTCACAGCGATTTATCGGTTCGCGACGACGTTGTAATCGTGGATAGGACAGATGCAATCAAGTACAAGATTTGTGTATAGTTACTTGTCATGAAAGCACTGTTGGGACATAGCAAAGCTTCGCACACAGTAGCATATTATTTTTTAATCAACTGTTTGATATATTTTATGTCCGATTTTTAGGATGACTATGCCTCACTTCCGCTGTTACAATAATAATGTGTCCATGTGGATATGTTACTCTCTATTTTATAGTAGCATGGGAATTTTATGAATACTTCTTATATACCACGTTGAATAGGGCCTTCAAAGGCAATGACTGTTACGAAGAGGCTGGAAATATCGCTTTTCTCTTTTGGTTCTACCAAACAGCCTTATGATTGTTTAATTAAAACGGTCAGTTGTGGCTGAATTAAAATTTGCTAGGATTGCCAAATACTCCGCTTTGTGATGTGATTACTCTCTTTGATCGCAGTCAGTCAAAAGCTTAAAAATCTTCGATTAGCCTCTCATAAACATTTAATAGTTCAAGCAGAAAAAATCAGAGAATTATTTTGAAGTCCACATCTTATTTACAATTTCTGTGGGAAATAAGCGTAAAGTGACTGGACGACACGATATGTTGTTTGTATCAGCGTGGGTGGTCAGACCACCAGTAGCCGCAATTTTAAAATAAGTCGGAGTGAACTTATGCAATCACATGGGGCTGAATGTACCCAAGACACCATTCTGGCTAAACAGAATAGCCGCGGAGACATCAACAATAAAAGGTGGGATTCAATTAAGAGTACAAAACACATCAGTTGTTTACAAAACTTTCACTAGTCAGGTTTTCTCTGCCCCCAGCCCCCTTTCAAACAATCAACTCGGTTTGGGACATATGACTGCGAAGTTATGTTCCAAGAACTACCAGTCCATACTTCGAGTTTATCAGAGTGTTTTGAACCAAGCACAAGGCACACCTTTCGCCGCGGCGACTTCAGCATCAGTTCGTTTGTCTAAGAAAATGCCAAACAGACCCCGAGATATTCCGACCAGCGCGTGTGTAATGATTTGACGTTAGAGTCATCAATCAACCGTTCGCGTAAACACTGGGTGGCCGTTAACGGCTAACCAACAACTCAGCTCGGACAATTTGACTGGTTCGTAGTGAGTTTGGCAGATTTGAATAATTCATGTGATTAATTATGAAAAACTCAGTGGCACCGGCTACTGAAGGGCAGGCCTTAGTGCAGCCAACCCTCCGACCAACTGAGATACGAGGCACCCACCGACAGTCGTGAGTTAAATTACATCTGATGGATCTGGCGGATTTTAAATTGATTGCTTCATAAATCCTGCTCAGACAGCTAGCTTACTCTATAGACTTAGCAGATTCCATTAGTCGCGGTAAGCTGGTCGAGTAAACAAGCCAGCTGTCATCAAAATCACGGCCATTGGTGGGGTCTTCTTAGCTTAGTTAGCTAGAGCGGTGACTGCAATATAGCTTCCCCTTGCTGACAAGGGTTCGAATAACTTGGAGACCGCCGAGTATTTCGCAAGTATGTCAAAAGACTTTATCCTATATTGAAATATGGCTTCTCATCTTCAAGAGTACTACATAATAGCAGGCCAAAGGTTCAAAATTAGGTCCGTCATCGTCGACTTAGTTCCGACAGTTAGTCCACAAAACTTCCAAAGACGCGCTTTCACGGCGGAAAGAACCACACATTATATTTCATTAAGGTGGAGTACTTCGGGGACCAGTTTGCCCCAGCTGAGTATAAAGTGGATTCCTTTTGTCTGCTATCTATCTGATAATTAAAATGAGTCCCCACTGGTCTGTCTTCGTGGCTGGGGCGAAACCTGGGTCCGGCTGCCCAGACCCCTTTCCGCATCAGCCCTGAAACCGACCATGATGCGAGGAGGTTATGCTCGGCTCCGCAATAAGCAACACCCCCACAGAATTGGGGCAAAGTTTCCTGCCAAGGTACCAGGACACACTACTCTTAATGGGTGGAGCGTGTCTCCAACCACCTCAAAGAAACTGCGTGCCCAGCATCCCCTGTAGTCCGTCTTTTGGAGTTATGAAATAACTGGCTTGATCTTCTGAATTATTATAACTATGCAATTCGATAGTATGTAGTGCCCTAAACACAATAATTGAAGCACACTTCGTACGTTTGGAAGGGTGCAAATCGTACAGAAATAAATAAAAATATTTTGTTTTCTAGGAAGAACGTCCAACCGCATGAAACATAAAACGTCCTTCATCGATAAATGTTAACTGATGTCTTACAGAACTCAGTTGTCCCGTTCTACCTCGGCGCTCACCTTCGAGCTCCACCAGCAGACAGACACAGATCGGCTTGTGGTGTAGGCAGAAGAGCAATGCCGGCAAAGGCAAGGAGACTGAATGGGCCATTTCTGGCTCCTTCTTCGTCAGCTATTCTTTTTTTAATTTGGAGTTTTAAACCATGTTTTTGACTGCTTTTAAGTTCAACGCCTTACCACTGAGGCGCATACACGATACCCTTTCGGCTGCAAGAGTAAACACTGACTATCAACACTTCTGCCCTGGCATATACTACTGATCACTTTGGGGCTGCCTATAAGGACTTTAGATCGAGCTCAAAGTCACACTGTAACAATCATTTCCTGCAGCCCGATTGCTCAACCGTCTTTCCAAGATAGTCAATATTTAATTGAACCAACTGTAAAAATATCGG